AGCAGTTCTGCAAACCCCCAAGCTAAACAAACACAGCATGTGTGCACCGGACCTCACACAAAACCACGTAGGCTCCATGATTGTTGTTTCAGTCTCTGTGCCCCCATGAGTCCTGCTTTAGATGACTCTGTGGGCCATGTTCTCCTGGTGCCCTCAACCCCTCTGGCTTCTACAATTACAGAACATATTTATTTTAAATATATATATACATGTTTTGTCTCCAAGAGGTGTAATTATCACCTTATGTTCCCTGTGTGATATCAGAATTCCAAAGTTCTTCACCAACTGGAGTGGCTTTAAACATTCCATAGTGGTTCCCATTTTTAGCCACAGACAAAAATTACTGCATTAAATCATTATTCATGGGTATGAAGGAATCCTTTGGCCATTTTATCCACTTGTCCTCACATTTTAGAAACTCAGGTCTAGACTAGCAGGCATTCACTTATATTCTTATAAATCCATCTGTTTCTTCCCTTTTTTATTCCTTATCCTTCAAGTTCCTATCAATTAAGTCCCCTCCAAACCAAGAACCTTCACTAGATTTTCTCAGTAAAATGTGCTCCTGTTTTCTAGATGACATCTTCAGGCTGCCCTCCAACCCCTATAATCTGTGAACTACCACATATGCTTTCCACTATTATTTTCTCTTTTTTTATTAAAGGATCCCCTAATTTCTATATCCCCTAAATTTTTTCTTCCCAAAAATTAAAAAGGTTCCTTGAAGGATCTTTGTATATTAAATCCTTCAATAAAAAATTAAACATTTTTAAACTATTCTAAATAATAAAATCTGACAAAAATTATTTAATAGAACCATTTCATTATGTGTACTTTTAAACAGTGTTATTAATTCTTGGAGAATTCATACAATACATTTTGTTTAATTCATATCATCACCACAATTTATCCCAGATCCATCCCCACCTCACCTCACACTCAATGTGTTCTCTCTCCATTTTTCTCTCTAATTTTTAAGTCAACCAAGTCCAGTTTGTGTAGATGACTGCTCTTATGTGAAGGACCTGGTCTGGAATCTGGTTGATTTAATTGAGGTCACAGCCTTAATAAAGAAAACAGACTGCTTTCCATTGCTTTCAAGCATCCAAGCTCCTCGGCTAAGGGGTTGAGGGACGATGTTCTTATCGACACACGCATACTGTTTCGGCTTGTGTTTGCACATGTCACATGTCTTTTGCATGCTATCACATCTTCGTAAGTTTATATGTGCATCTGCCATGTTCTCTCTGGAAAATACTGCTTCTTTGAAATCCATGACCATGTCTAATCTTACAAATACACAGCCCTCTTCTGTGTAAAGTTTTAATATAAGGTGTAACATTTAGAATCATGTTTGAAAGGTCTGCTTTGAAGAACTTAAGAATATGTTGTTATTAACATAAATGAAGAAATTTCCAACAAGTTTCATTTGATGACTTTTGTATAAAATATGACTCAGTAAATTTTCATCATGGAAGAAGAATATACTGAGGTCATTTTCTCTTTGGTGAATTTAGGCCAGCTGTCTTCCTACTCTGTACATGAATACATTTGAGTGAATTTGTTTTGATGATAGGCAATCTTCAGGCATCTGGAAATTTTTGACAAACTCTAGCTACCTGCAAGATGACCTTTCTCTACTATGAGACAACCTGTTTGCACATTCTTCTGCTGATATCAGATTACTACTCTGTTGGAGGACCCTCTGTTCCACAAACTCACAACAATATAATTTAGGAAAGTTACTGAATATGAGTGAAAATTCACTTTTTAGCACCATCTTGGAATTTCAGAAGAAATACAGAGGATTAATGCATACTATAGTGGGACCTAAAATCCCTCCATCTATCATGAACTCACATGTATCAAATAGGAAAGAAAATGCATTGTTCCAAAGTCATAGTATGACAATAGTATTTACCATGTACCAAACCTACTTTTGGATTTTTTCCAGTTTTACTAAGTGAAAATTAACCTTCTATTTCCTTTTAAGATGTGATTGTTATGTGTCCACAAATGTGCTTTACAATGTGTAAACTTCTGCTTTTCAGTCAAAATTTAGAACAATAAGGAAGACATACCATCACAATTTTATCTCAGGCCTTATACAGAATACATTTATATATATTCTGTTAAGGAGGAATAGATTGATTGAAGCATGTTTTCATATTCCATATAAGCAACTCAAGACATTTGATGTTTGTCTTATTTTGGGTTTCTATTGTTATGTAAAGACATTGTAATCACGGAAACTCCTATAAAGGAAAACATTTTTATTGAGGTGACATATTACATTTTCAGAGGTTTAGTCCATTATCATCATGACAGGGAGCACAGTGGCCTGCAGGCATACATGGTGCTGGGGAATTCTTTATCTTAATTCAGAGTCAAAAGAAATTGGCCTGAGACACTGGGCATGGGGTGAGCATATGATACCACAAGGCCTAACTCCCTAGGGACACACTTCCTATAAGACCACCCCTGCTCCAACAAGGCCACAGCTTCTCATGGTGCCACTCCCTTTGGGAGCCATTTTTTTTTTCAGACCACCATAGTGTTAAAAGTCATTTATTAACTCATAAAGATAAATTTATTTTTTTCCAGGAAGCAGTCCATATTGTTCAAGATGGTACAGAACATGCTATGTAGCTAAGCATGCTGTAATCTTGTGTTTCTCCTCCCTCTTACTTGGGAATGCTAGGGCCGCAGCCATGTGCATGTCCACAGCACATGAAGAAGCCATTAAATTAAATTGAATCAAACCTGAGGCCAGATATTGAGGTGAACGCTGGAAGATCAGAGAAACAGAACAAGCCATATCTACCTCACCTTGCCAGTTCCTCAGCTGATCCCGTTTCCTCAGACTGGAAGCCTCTGAGTCCTCATTCAGAATGGATCTCAGCTGAACTGCTTCTCAAAAGCCTGAATGCTTAACCAGCCAAATGTTTCTAGTTTCTGGTCTTCATGCCTTATATATCTTTTTGCTTTCTGCCATCACTCTCTGGGATTAAAGGCACATTTCTTGTGATCAATGGCATGAGTCACCATGCCTGGCTATTTCCAGTGTGGCCTTGAACTGACAGAGATTCATGCCTCCAGAAGGCTAGGATTAAAAGTGTGAGTGCCACCATTTTCTAGCCTCTGTATCTAGTGGCTGTTCTGTTCT